CATGTACACATGTACATGTATATTGAGATAATCCTACCCCCTTTAATTCTTTCTCCTTCCCTCTTTCTCTTCCTTTCTCTTCTCCCTCCCTCTCTCCTCCCTCCCTCTCTCCTCCCTCCCTCTCTCCTCCCTCCCTCTCTCCCTCCCTCTAGATAGAAGAAGCTGGTGATAAGTTAGCCACCATTATGGTGACCTATCCCTCCACTAGTGGTGTGTTTGAGGACTCCATTAGAGAGGTCTGTGACATGGTACACTATTATGGAGGACAGGTAAGGAAATATACATGTACATGTACATGTATTTTATTCCTGTATACATGTACACGTACTCTGTTTTGTTCCATTGCCTTATTTATTTAAAACTGCTATATAGTTGTCCTGGCATGCTTTGATGGTCATGAACAATCTCATTGTTCAAACCGTGAAATTCATGATTGTCCCAGACTGACAGTTACTATAACAAAGCTGTCTCAGCTACACGTTATCTACACATGTTTGTCCACGTTCCATGTTAGACTACTTTTGAATCTGCCTATAACTTTATTGCCTCCAATAACTTCGCTAATGTTTTGAGCTTCTTATGGTGTGATTTTATGTACATGTACGTACGTGCCTTCTCCAGAATCAAGTAGTGTGATTCTCTCTTGAATTTGCACCTCAAATAATGTCTTATTCATTAGTGCGTGTAATATTCATTAACTACTGGAAATAGTTGATAATAGTCATTAATTTTGAGTATTGGAACTACTTTACACGTACTCGATTACTTCTCATCTAATTGTTTTTGTTGAACATTTTATCATCCCTCCCTCACCTTAAATGGGTTACATTGTTACAGTGCTATTACAAAATTTTATAAATTCCAAAAAATGCAAAAAAAAAATTAGCAATTGTACTGTGCAGTTTCAATCAATAGCAACACAGCTAACAAACGAGAAAATAATTATTAGTGTACGCTATAGAGGCGTCATTGTATTAGTTTACAAAAAAACTTGAAAGGGAAAGTATCTAAAAAAAACCAAAAAAAATTGTTCTAACTACATGTATAAAAGCACTATAATGTTGTAAAGAATCAAGAAAGTGAAGCCTGCATTGATATCATTTCTGAATTTGCTGCATCCTGCTGCTCCATTGGTTCCTCATGTGCTTCCTCCTCATCCTGTCTGTCCCTATATTTGAATAATTATTTTATAGAGTAAAAATTATAAAAACAAACCTTTTGATATAATAGTCTTTGGAAAAACTGGTTTCAACATGTGGAGTTTGTACTTGTAACCTTTCAATTTTTCTTTTGACTTTCTTCATCATGTCTGTTAGATTCATTTTAGTGGCATGTTTTTTTAAAACTCTTACAAATTTTTGTATAAAAAAGCTTCCATTTTCATTACAACCAGCTGTGTTACCTCGTGCTGATGCAAATATTGTCATGATATCGGCTGAATCCATGACTCTGGTTGTACTACTTGAAGCAGAACTTTCAAAAGCTTTTGTTGTATAATGAACAGGTTCTTTTATAATGCCACGACAGGCATCAATCACAAATACTTTAGGTATTTTAGCAAGAGAGGGACACTTTGTAGCATAGAAATGCTTTTTCAAATCGTGGACTGCAACTGCTTCTCCATCAGTGCCATAGACAACATCACCTTCTCCTCCATGACTGGATATAATGAGGAAGAAGGCTCCAGTGTGCTGCATTGCACTGTATCCCCTTGCGATAGACCCTATTTGTTCTGCTGTTTTATTCTGATGAACTCTGACATCAAATCCAAGTGATGTGAACGTAGAATTTAGACTGGCCTCATCCTTTATACCACTTGGAAGATTATTTCGTGGATCATGAAAAACGATGTTATTAATTATAACGCATAGTCCTGGGCCAAACTGGTATATATCTATTGTAATAAATATATCTATTATTACATATAATAATATACACTTGCTTGAATCTGGTGATTCACAGCTACTTTGAGAATCAGTGTCACTCATCTCCATTGTTCTATATTCTGGCAATTTTGGGGCGAGCCACTGACACCTAAGATAAGGGCAGATAAAGATGCTGTCTAAACAAAAGAGTTTAAGGAAGTACGGTGTAACTTATCCATAGGCGGCTATAGGCCCGGTTTGCCCTGGTAGTTTTCAACCAAAACTATACCCAAAAGGTGTTTTGTTATTATTAGGAGTGAAATCATCGCTAGAATTCATTTTTTATAGCCACAACTGTTTAAACTTGCTATCAGCTCCACTTTACAGTTATCATTTAGTGTGGTAACTGGCTTTTGTGAGCTATCATAATGACTTTTAGTCATTTTATTAATTGACCACACTCCTAATTTTTATAAATAATTAATGAGCCCTGGTTAATCCAAGATTTTGTAGCTACCTATGAACTCATCTTGATTCAAATGCATCAATTGCAAGAGTTGTTAAAGATAAAATATACCGTATAAGATGAAATGTTGATGGGGATTTAATATTGGCGGATTGACAGATTTATATAAAAACGCCAAAATAAAATCCGCAAGGAATAATTCCATTCATGCGTGTGACCACACCCACATTAATTTTAGTTAAAAGCATGGTTAAAAGCAGCTAGCTAACATGGCTCTACTATGTTTCTTTAAGCCAGTCTCTAAACCAGGTGATAAAGAATACAATCTTCCAGAAAAGGTACAGTCTTTCTCTGATAATAATGTTCTCCACTAACCACAACCGCTTAAGTAAAACCCCGCCTAAGGGTGGGGATATAATTAAATTGTTAGAAACCGCCAATATTAAATCCGCCAATAAGCTAGCCATCACAAAACCGCCAAAGAAAACTCCTGCCAACAAATCATCTTATACGGTAATAGACAAGTCAGATCACAAAATTAATAATTAAAATTTCAAATAAAAGCTAAAAGTAATTAAGTCAGCTCTTGTGATGATGCAACACTTTGCTTACTCATGGAGGCTCATTAAAATATTTGTCACAGAACTATTGTAATAAAATCCCAGATACTACATTTCAGCTACATTTGAACTTATGATATTGTCACTGTGAATGTACATTGCAATGTATTTGTATACAAGTATATACTTGCATACTTGTCTTCATTTTCTACTCCTCCCCCAGGTATATGTAGATGGTGCTAACCTCAATGCTCAGGTTGGGCTCTGTCGTCCTGGGGATTATGGAGGAGACGTGTCTCATCTGAACCTTCACAAGACCTTCTGTATACCTCATGGAGGGGGTGGACCAGGAATGGGACCTATTGGAGTGTGAGTATGGAAACATGGGAATGAGTTTTTATTTAATTAAATGTGTGGGTGGCATTACTATATATGTACAATAGAGTTATTGCAAGTTTGCAACTGTAGGATGTGTTACTAAAAATAGCCAGACATTATGTGTGCTATTAATAGCTACATGTACAGTATATTGTACACATATGTACATGTACTATAGAATCTAATAGTTATTTTTATACATTTACATGTACATGTATGTATACTGCTAGATTTAGAGGGAGTTTAGGAGACTTCAGTTTCCAAAAATTAATTTTTATAGATATAAAAATATACATGTACATATATATGTACATCTTTTTATACATTCATTTATTTATTTATTTATTTATTTATTTATTTATTTATTCATTTATTTATTTATTTATTTATTTCTAGTAAGGCTCATTTAGCTCCATACCTACCTGGTCATCCAGTAACTGGTCCTAATCCGTTAAAGTCCTTTGGAACAGTATCATCAGCAGCCTGGGGCTCAGCCTCCATCATACCAGTCTCATGGGCCTACATACTAATGATGGGAAGCAAAGGACTAAAGAAAGCTTCTGAAGTGAGAGAGAGAGAGAGAGAGGGAGGGAGGGAGAGAGAGAGAGAGGGAGAGTAGAAATACCATATACGCCATATATTTCACTGGTATAAAATTTTGCAATTTTGCTGCATTTTTGTATTCGCGAATAAAAATTTTTGCGATTTTAATGTAATTGCCACACCTACTATACAATCAACATGCTATTTTGTGGATTTTGATTTCTCTAATTTTTCCAAAATGCAAAAATTGCAAAATTTAATCCCCACAAAATAATATATGGCGTATACAGTATGAGATAAAATGTATAGCAATTGTGAATAAAAGAGCATAATATTCAAAAATAAAAATTTCACTATTATAAATAATGGTTATTAATAAGTTAATCTAAGAATTTATTAAGAGGTACAATGTAACTATAACATTGCTTCATTTAATCAATTAAATTGCTTCAATTTAGCTGACTATAATATAAACTGTAATTATATATACATTATGCTTATACATGTAGTAGTGTATAATAGTAGGAAATATTATATTTTATTTTATTTTATTTTATTTTATTTTATTTTATTTTATTTTCAGATAGCAATAGTCAATGCTAATTACATGGCAGCAAGACTAAAGGGACACTATAATATCCTGTTCCGTGGAACTAATGGTAAGAGAGTATACTAATAGTGTATTAATAATATACTAATAATATACTAGCAATGTATACTTGCTCTAACAAATGCATTATTTATTTGGACTAGCTATATTATCTAGCCAATCCATTTTATGCATATGCATGTTCTTAAATTGAGTAGCAAGTTTAAGTTAATTCTGACTTAAATTTTTAATTATGGCCACTTTTAAAAATAGGGCTATTTTCTGAAAAAATCTCTGTACTATAGCCCATGGTTTTTTTTGAAAAATGGTTTTAAAATCACCCCCAATTTTTATTACATTTTCTGATACATATTGATTTACTTATGCTGTGTAGAAAGTTTGAACTGATTCCGACTAAAATTTTTCAAGTTACGGCCATTTTTAAAAATGGGCCAAAATCTGAAAAATCCCTGTACTATAGCCCATGGTTTTTTCCGAAAAATGGCTAAAAAATTATCCCCAATTTTTATTTCATTTTCTGATGCATATTGATGTACTTATGCTGTGTAGAAAGTTTGAGCTGATTCCAACTTAAATTTTTCAAGTTACGGCCATTTTTAAAAATTGTCCGAAATCTGAAAAAGTCCCTGTACTATAGCCCATGGTTTTTTCCAAAAAAATGGCTAAAAAATCACCCCCAATTTTTATTAAATTTTCTGATACATATTGATGTACATTACTTAAGTAAATTTATTATTACTATTATTATTAGGATTCAATGCTCATGAGTTTATACTGGATACCAGATGCTTTAAGAACACTAGTGGTATTGAAGCTATTGACATTGCTAAGAGAATGCAGGACTATGGTAAGAGAAGAGAGAGAGAAAATAAAGTTATTTCTGGATATTTTTTTGTTACTTAATGTTTACAGATTTCACGAATTTTATAATAATAATTATAATAAATTAAATTCTTTGAAAGTATAATAATTTTAAATTAATAAGTAAAAGCATGTACATGTATACAGCATTTTAGCTCTAGTCTCCAGAAAATTTAGACTAAAATTAAGTGATACACATTATTACTTAATTTTCATGTCAATATATATATTATGTAAATAAATCTTTTCTTTCTCTCCCTCCCCAGGGTTCCATGCCCCTACTGTCTCCTGGCCAGTTAGTAATACTCTGATGATTGAACCAACGGAGAGTGAGGGAAAGGCAGAACTGGATCGATACTGTGACGCACTAATATGTACGTAATAATACGTAATAATATATATATAACCCCCCCCCTCAATTTTTATTACATTTTCTGATACATATTGATGTACTTATGCTGTGTAGAAAGTTTTGAGCTAATTCTGACTTCAATTTTTCAAGTTACGACCATTTTAAGAAAATGCCAAAATTCTAAAAAATCTCTGTACTATAGCCCATGGTTTAGAAAGTTGGATTTTTTCCAATATAAAGATGAATTTAACTATCCACCATATGGTATTTTTTTTGTCAATTATAGTCATGCACATATGTGAGTAAAATACATGTACATGTACATTATATAGAGGCTATCTCCTTCTATATATTTAATAATTATTATTAGTATTAATTTTATTATTTGGTTTTTGGTCTTTCTTCGTTTTTTGTTGTCCTTCTCCTTCTATAGTTCATCCTTTGCCTTAAACTCTAAACATCACTAAACCATTAGACCTTGTTACATGTACCTATAGTCCATGTCACTGGAAAGATATACATGTACATGTACATATGTATTGTACTATGCTATAGTGCTGTATTAAGTTTGTATATAGCAATGGAAGATTTAGCTCCTTCTTTTTTCATAATTTTACACTATTAATATTAATTTTTAACTAAAGCATTTTACAAACCACTTTCTTAATTTAGTCCATGTCACTTTGCATGTAGTGGGCGTGGTATTTAATGGGCGTGGCTAGTAGTGAGTACTATATACTATTGGTAGTATAGTGTAGTTAGTGTGTGACTTGGTTCATATTTCATTAACATAATTATTGAATGTGGTATGTACCTGTAGACCTCTCCTACAGACTACCTGTCTACTTTCTATTTACTATTGAAATATATTTGATGTGTAACTGTACAGTATATGTACTCATTGAAATTATTATTATTAAGCTACTCTCCCTCTCTCTGTCTCTGTCTCTGTCTCTCTCTCTCTCTCTCTCTGTCTCTCTCTCTCTCCCTCTTTCCCTCTTTCCCTCTCTGTCTCTCTCTCTGTGTGTGTGTGTGTCTCTCTCTCTTTCTCCCCCTCCCTCTCTCTCTCTCTCTCTCTCTCCCTCTCTCCCTCGCTCCCTCCCTCCATCCCTCCCCATAGCTATAAGACAGGAAATCTCTGAAGTAGAAGAAGGAAAATATGACGTTAAAAACAATGTACTAAAGGTTAGTACCCCCTCTCTCTCCCTCTCCTCCCCTCCAGTACTCCTCTCATTTATTAATTATTTAATTAATTATTATTAATTATTAGATTATCTGGAATGCTATGTACAGCTCTTGTACCAGTACATAGTTCCAATTACTCACAAATATTTATTATAATTATTATAATTAATATTACTACATCCTATAAACACACACACACATGTATATGTACATTTACTTATACATACATGTGTACATGTATTCCCTTGCAGCTGTTTTAGTGTACATAATATTTTGAATTGATATCCTGTAGTTGTTACAGGAAGCTGGGGACATTGTTTGTATTGTTCTTATCAGCAAAAATTCAAAGTGTCTAATGTTCCCCTTTTACTGTAGCTCTCACAGAACAACAATGCCTGTATTATCATAACCACCTCCCTTTCTCTTACTCCCCCCTCCCTCTCTCTCTCTCTCTCTCTTTCTCTAGAATGCTCCTCATCCCATGTACTTGGTGACAGCCTCAAACTGGCCATTCCCCTACTCAAGAGAGAAGGCTGCCTTTCCAGCTGTAAGTATTTCAAACTTGTACATTTAAATATACAGAACTGCATACATGTATGTACCTGTACATGAACATTTAAATATATGTACATGTACATGTACCTTTAACATACTCTTTATGTACATGTATGTATCCCCATATGTATCTTAATATTTTGTTATATATACATGTACATGTACATGTATATATTATATCTATTAAGTGGTATTTTAAATTAATTGTTACTGCCACCCAATACCACTCCCTTCCATCAATCAAATAAACCTCTACAGTACATGTAATTAATTATGTGACAAAAGATTATTAATGTGGTTGCTATATACATGTACATGGATGTACCATATAGTATCTACACATGTATATGTCACATACAATATGTACAGTATAGTCTCTCTTAATGGACACTCTCTATAGCGTACACCTCCATTTAACGGACAGCACCTAGTGTACCAATTACATTCCTTACTGTATAAAATAACCTCCACATAAAGGACACCTCTGTATATTAGAGACACTGTCTTGACACAAAGCCTCCATTATATAGAGGCTACACTGTCCATTATTATCAATAAGTGTCCATTATAGAGGCTTCAATGTAGTGGTTTATTATCATAGTCATACTACTATGCTGGCATGCCTTTGCCTTGTGTGGCCAGATACCTCAGTCCTTAGGCAGTGCCTTACCAACACCTCAAGGCTTTGGTTTCCAGATCACTATAGAGTATGGAGAGTTGCTAGGAGACATTATGATAATGGAGATAATGTGGTTGGCAACTGCCTCATTATCTTAAGTAATGTATCCATAGTGTTCTTTATTCTTTACAAAGCGTGGTTGGCAACCCGGACTTTGATGGTTAAAAACTCGTACAAGTTTGATAGCTATAGAGTATTGTTCCGTCTATAGAGAATAAAGAATGGGCGTGTCCCTTTTCTTTGAAAAGGATTCAAACTATCTACTTGGTAGATAGTGTTTTGACAATGGAGTTGGCAACCGACTTTGATGGTTAAGTAATAAAAAAACTCAAAT